GATGGCGGCATAGGTAAACACCGGCGTTTGCTGCCTCAAACAACCACTTCAAAAATACAACTAAAAGACGGAACGGACATCATCCAGAACCACAGGAAGGCTGGCTGAGTGGAAATTCTACAACTAGAAGGAAAGAGAAAAGCATACCGAGACTCAGAGGAGGCGCAGTGGGGAAGTAAAATACTAAGGTACAGAAGCGCATGTGGAGTGGGCTGGCGGCTGAGGGCGCAGTTGTTGTTTTCAATCGGGAGGGAGTCTTAGGCTCTGAGCTCCAGTTCTGGGCAAGTCTCTGGGGACCCAGACTCATACGGGAGAAGCAGGACTGTCTGGCATCGGTCGGAACTCGAGGGCAGCTTTCTCTCGGAGGGGCTTGCAGCGATTGTCGAGACACTGAGAAGTGGAGCCTCTGAGAGCAGCCATAACTGCTAGCCCTGCCCTGTTGATCCCTTGGGACCCGCCCTGCCCAAGCCCTGCAGGGAGGCTTTTGCTGGATACCCTAAGGCAGAGGCTAGATTAGCACCTCCCTAGAGATCCAGGAGCCAGTGTACCCAGAGGTCAGAGTGGGACCATCCAGTTTGCAGCTCCGTGGAACCATAAAGGACACACTCAGGGGGCAGACTCAGTGAGCACCAAAGCCCCATTGAAGCAAGTCTTGCCCTGGAGGGGTGTCTCTAGCACAAAAGTTATCCCACTGCAGACACAGCGGAATCTCACAGCCAATTGGCCTGGAGGTCAATTCCTCCCAGTGATACCTACAACAATCAAGGCTTAACTACAACAAGACTGTGCACAAAGACCACAAGGGGGTGCACCAAGAGTGTCTTCCTCAGGTAATTGGAGAGGCTGAACCACTGGATCCTAGAGGACACTTAGCACAGAAAACCACTTTATCAACACAGGGAACCATAAAAAATGCAGAGACAAAGAAAAAGGACACAAATGACAGAAATGGAGGAAAGCAAACTACTGTATATAAAGTTCAAAACCACACTTTTAAGGTTTTTCAAGAATTTTCTAGAAACTGCCGATAAACTTAATGAGACCTACAAGAAATCTAATGAGACCCTCGAGGTTGTGATAAAGGACCAACTAGAAATTAAGCATACACTGACTGAAATAAAGAATATTATACAGAGACCCAACAGCAGACTAGAGGATCGCAAGAATCAAGTCAACGATTTGAAATGCGAAGAAGCAAAAAACACCCAACCGGAAAAGCAAAATGAAAAAAGAATCCAAAAATATGAAGATAGTGTAAGGAGCCTCTGGGACAGCTTCAAGCGTACCAACATCCGAACTATAGGGGTGCCAGAAGAAGAGAGAGAGCAAGATATTGAAAACCTATTTAAAGAAATAATGACAGAAAACATCCCCTACCTGGTGAAAGAAATAGACTTACAAGTCTAGGAAGTGCAGAGAACCCCAAACAAAAGGAATCCAAAGAGGACCACACCAAGACACATCATAATTAAAATGCCAAGAGCAAAAGACAAAGAGAGAATCTTAAAAGCAGCAAGAGAAAGAAAGTCAGTTACCTACAAGGGAGTACCCATACGACTGTCAGCTGATTTCTCAACAGAAACTTTGCAGGCCAGAAGGGAGTGGCAAGAAATATTCAAAATGATGAATAGCAAGAACCTACAACCAAGATTATTTTATCCAGCAAAACTATCATTCAGAAGTGAAGGTCAGATAAAGAGCTTCACAGATAAGAAAAAGCTAAAGGAGTTCATCACCACCAAACCAGCATTATATGAAATGCTGAAAGGTATCCTTTAAGAAGAAGAAGAAGAAAAAGGTAAAGATACAAATTATGAACAACAAATACACATCTATCAACAAGTGAATCTGAAAATCAAGTGAATAATCTGATGAACAGAATGAACTGGTGATTATAATATAATCAGGGGCATAGAAAGGGAGTGGACTGACTATTCTTGTGGGGGAAAGAGGTGAGGGGGATGCGGGAAGAGACTGGGCAAAAATCGTGCACCTATGGATGAGGACAGTGGGTGGGGAGTGAGGGCAGAGGGTGGGGTGGGAACTGGGTGGAGGGGAGTTATGGAAGGAAAAAAGAGGAACAACTGTAATAATCTGAACAATGAAGATTAAAAAAAAAAAAAGACAAAACGGACATCATCCAGAACCACAGGAAGGCTGTGCGAGTGGAAATTCTACAACTAGAAGGAAAGAGAAAAGCACACTGAGACTCAGAGGAGGTGTGGAAGTGAAGTGCAGAGGTACGGAGTCGCACGCGGAAAGGGCTGGCAACTGAGGACACGGCTGTCTTTTTCAATCGGGAATGAGTCTCAAACTCCCAACTGCTCTGAAGGCCAGTTCTGGGCGAGTCTCTGGGGACCCAGACTCATACAGGGAGAAACTGGACTGTCTCGCAGCAGGCGGAACTCGAGGGTGGCTTTCTCTCAGAGGAGCCTGCAGTGATTATCGCAGAACAGTGAGACCCGGGTCCTCTTAGGGCAGGGCTGAGGATCAGCCATAGCTGTTTGCTCCCCCTGTTGATTCCCTGAGACCCCGCCCCACCCAAGCTGTGCTCAAAGGCTTTTGCATATGAATGCCCTGGCCCTTTGCAATCTAAAATTACCTAACAAACTGCAGCTGGGTCAGAGAGACCCAGAACATCCAAAAGAAGGCCCAAGGCCCCACAGCAGCTTGCATTGCTTCACAGCTGGGCCTCATTTAGGCACCTCCAAACTCCAAACCAGGGGTCCTCAAACTTTTTAAACAGAGGGCCAGTTCACTGTCCCTTAGACCGTTGGAGGGCTGGACTACAGTTTAAAAAAAACTATGAACAAATTCCTATGCACACTTCACATATCTTATTTTGAAGAAAAAAACAAAACGGAAACAAATACAATATTTGTATTTGCATGAGGCCTGCAAGCTGTAGTTTGAGGACCCCTGCTCCAAACAAAGAAAAGGAATCTGAAGATCTCTCCGTAGCTCCTGCTGGGTAGTCACAGGCAGAGGCTAAATTAGCACCTCCTAAGATCCAAGTGCCAGTGTACCCAGTGGTCAGAGTGGACCATCCAGATTATAACTCCTCAGATCCATAAGGGACACACTCAGAGGGAAGACTCAGTGAGCACAAAAGCCCCACTGAAGCAAGTCTTGCCCCATAAGGGTGTCTTCAGCACAGAAGTTCTCCCACTATAGACACAGCTGATTCTCACAGCCAATTGGCCTGGAGGTCAATTCCTCCCAGTGATACCTACAACAATCAAGGCTTAACTACAACAAGACTGTGCACAAAGCCCATAAAGGGGTGTACTAAGAGTGTCTTCCTCAGGTAATTGGGGAGGCTGAGCCACTGGGCCCTATAGGACACCTAGCAAACAAAGCCATTCTGCCAACACAGGGAAGCAGCCAAAATGCAGAGACAAAGAAACAGGTCACAAATGACAGAAATGGAGGAAAGCAAACTACTGGATATAGAGTTCAAAACCATGGTTATAAGGTTTTTCAACAATTTTCTAGAAACCGCTGATAAATTTAGTGAGACCCTCGAGGATATGAAAAAGGACCAACTAGAAATTAAGCATACACTGACTGAAATAAAAAATATTATACAGAGACCCAACAGCAGACTAGAGGATCCCAAGAATCAAGTCAAAGATTTGAAATACGAAGAAGCATAAAACGCCCAACCGGAAAAACAAAAAGAAAAAAAAATCCAAAAATATGAAGATAGTGTAAGGAGCCTCTGGGACAGCTTCAAGCGTACCAACATCCGAATTATAGGGGTGCCAGAAGAAGAGAGAGAGCAAGATATTGAAAACCTATTTAAAGAAATAATGACAGAAAACTTCCCCTACCTGGTGAAAGAAATAGACTTACAAGTCCAGGAAGCGCAGAGAACCCCAAACAAAAGGAATCCAAAGAGGACCACACCAAGACACATCATAATTAAAATGCCAAGAGCAAAAGACAAAGAGAGAATCTTAAAAGCAGCAAGAGAAAAACAGTTAGTTACCTACAAGGGAGTACCCATATGACTGTCAGCTGATTTCTCAACAGAAACTATGCAGGCCAGAAGGGAGTGGCAAGAAATATTCAAAATGATGAATAGCAAGAACCTACAACCAAGATTACTTTATCCAGCAAAGCTATCCTTCAGAATTGAAGGTCAGATAAAGAGCTGCACAGATAAGGAAAAGCTAAAGGAGTTCATCACCACCAAACCAGTATTATATGAAATGCTGAAAGGTATCTTTTAAGAAGATAAATAATTTGATGAACATAATAAACTGGTGAATATAATAGAATCAGGGACATAGAAAGGGAGTGGACTGACATTTCTCAGGGGGGAAGGGGTGTGGCGGGTGCGGGAAGAGACTGGACAAAAATCATACACCTATGGATGAGGACAGTGGCAGGGGTAAGGACAGAAGGTGGGGTGGGAACTGGGTGGAGAGGAGCTATGGGGGGGGGGGGAAAGAGGAACAACTGTAATAATCTGAACAATAAAGGTTTAATTAAAAAAAATTAAAACAATGTATACACATAAAGATAAAATATTAAATCTTACTAAAGGGCTTTTACTGAAAAGTAGCAACCAGCTTTGCCTTTAATTCAACTAAATGACTAGTATTTCTGTTGAATGTGTTAGGTATTACAGTGTGTGAAAACATTGCCATGGTATCAAGATAGTATCCACTATCCGCACTCTCCCCATTCTGCCAGAGGTTCTGTCAGTGACTGAGCCTAACAGCCAGCTGGCAGGTGGAGGCAGATCCTGGGAGCTTGCAGAGGCTTGTGGACCCACCTCTGGGCCCTGTCCTGGTAAAAGCTGGCCTTGCCATGCCCACAGAGGCAGCCACAAACTGTGGCTCACTTGTAGCTTCAAACAGGTTGCCAAGGGCCAGGAATAGGATTTATTTGATATTTACAACAGAACATTTCAACCCAAAGCAGCAGAATATATTCTTCTCCAATGTACATGGAACCGTCTCAAAGATAGAGCATGTGGGGACACAACAGAACCAGAGGATGGATACATGGAACAGACTGACATGTCAGAGGGGAGGTGGGAGGGGGAATTGGATGAAAGAAGGTGAAGAGATTAGTCAAAGGATATATACGCATAGCCCCTGGAGACAGACAACAGTATGGTGAAGGCCAGGGCAGGGGGAAAAGGTGGGGAAAATGGGGGACATCTATAATCGTGTCAACAATTGAAAAAAAGGAAGGGAAGCATAATTAAATAATATTATGTTTAAATAAAAACTAGTAATACAAACATTACTATTGATTCTACTAAAAATTGTAAACAATTGTGTAAGAGAACCATATCAGTAATTCAATACAAAAGTCTAAAATTTATCAATCAATAAATAGCAGTGTACCAAAATTTATTACAAAATGGAGGCTGATAACAACAAAAAAAGCAGTTAGAATTTGAAAGTGGAATGTGACTGGGTAATAGGGAGGGCTTGAGAGGGATAGTTTTTTTGGTAATAGGTCTTTTGGTTCTACTTGACTTTTTAAACATTCATATATTTTATTTTGACAGTTTTGAGGGCGTTCAGAATAAAATAAGTATGGCTATTTTGTTTAAAGTCCTTTCGGTTTTTGTTTTCTGATTAGTGTAAGTAATACAATTATTTTTTAGATTGGTTTGGTATTAAGCCTAAGCAACAGCTTACTCATCCTGTAGACTAGCTGAAATAAGGCAATGAGCCAACAATAGTATTCTACTTTTGTTTGTTACCTCGAGACTGGGAAACTTTTTCCAACTAGAATCTAGCCACTAATATAGAGGATCTTGTTCTTAAGTTCTGGTTCAAATTCTTATCTGATCAATGCTCTCTTTAGCTCTGGGTACTATTGTGGTGTAATATGACTTTTTGTATTTCACTTTTTAGAGGCTTTGCACAACACCTTTAGTGAGCTTCATTTTGAGGTAGTGCATTACAAAGATGCCACAGCAAAGACAATCTGTGAGATCCTGAAAGACTACCAACGCATGGACCACAATGGCAAAGACTGCTTCATCTGCTGCATCCTTTCCCATGGAGACAAGGGCATCGTCTATGGCTGCGATGGGCAGGAAGCCCCCATCTATGAGCTGACCTCTTACTTCACTGGTTTGAAGTGCCCTTCCCTTGCAGGCAAACCGAAAATCTTTTTTATCCAAGCTTGCCAAGGGGATAACTACCAGAAAGGCATAGCTGTTGAGACCGACTCAGAGGAGAAGGAAGCCTATTTAGAAATGGACTCGAACCAGAAGAGAAATATCCCAGATGAGGCTGACTTTCTGCTGGGGATGGCCACTGTGAACAACTGTGTTTCCTACCGAAACCCCACAGAGGGGACCTGGTATATCCAGTCACTGTGCCAGAGTCTGAGAGAAAGATGTCCTAGGTAATTCCTGCCTACTCAACCCGTCATGCATCTATACATGTCCAGCTGTGGGCCTCAGAGCTGTACTTCCCATGTCAGTTGCAAAGTGGGAGAGAGGACAAGTCTTAACATCTTTAGTCACAGAGAGAAAAAAACTGATACTTACTGAGGAGTTCCCCTTTTTAGCACCTCAAAGGACAGGCAGGAAGGATGCTAGGAAGGATGGTGAAGTCATATAGTCCAGCTCTGTATTTGGGCAGAATCATGACTGTGCCACCTTAACTAGAAAAATTCTAAGAAGTCTTCTAAAAAGGCAATAACCCATTTCAATGTGTACTATCCTCCAGCTCTGTCAAAAGTTCCATAATAGCTAACTGACCTCACACCCTCTTGGTATATAAATCCTTTATTGTTGTACTCATCTGGCCTGATTTAAAGCCACAAAATATAGGAAAATCGCCTTTCCTCATTTAAATATCCCACAATTCTTTTAGTTACATGAAGTTTTGTATGTCACAGTTCACCCAAATGCACACACAACAGACAGATGAATAGCAAGGAATCTTCTGCTAGGTTCCTTCTAGTTCAGTATTATTATGTTTAAAGTGTATGAAGAATGAGAATTTCTATGGCGGATAAAGGAGTGAACCATAACATCAACACTATGTTTTCATTTTGTGATTCAGACCATGAATCCTGCAAGGTTAGGGGGCGGTGGATGTGGGGGTGGGGGTGGGGCTATTTGCCGAGGTAGATGAACAGGTGGCCCAATTAAACTGGATAGCGAGACTGGTGAGAAAGGGGTGGTGTGGCTGCACGAGACACTGGATTTTCACTTCCCATAAGTTTGGTTGCATCATGGATGAATCCACAGAAGCAATGTCACTTTGGGGCAGAGGATGTTAGGGATCATTGAGAGGATAATGGGGGCAAGTAACACAGAAGCTGGAGTAGAGTGAGGTACAAACAGATTGGGAGGGGAAGAAACCAAATCTCATGTTAACACTGAGGTTTCTGATGGTCTGCAGAGATCCTGAGGAAACCAAAGGTAAGTTATTAAGCTCTGAAACATCCTTTACCTAAAATGCTATGGTAGGTCTTGGTTTAGCAACTTATTTCATCTGCCTAAGGTTTTTTAAAAATATATTTTTTATTGATTTCAGAGAGGAAGTGAGAGGGAGAAAGAGACAGAAGCATCAATGATGAGAGAGAACCAAAGATCGGCTGCTTCTTGCACGCCCACTATTGGGGATGGAGCCCACAACCCAGGCATGTGCTCTGACCAGGAATCGAACTGTGACCTTCTGGTTCATAGGTCGATGCTCAACCACTGAGCCACGCCAGCTGGGCTTGCCTGATGTTTTGAGAGAAATAGCTATCATAAGCACAGCAGGTGAACGGGTTTACCAGTGTTTTCCCCTCACAGATGGTCACAATGCTATGTTCTGTTTTCCAGGGGTGATGACATTCTCACCATCCTCACTGAGGTAAACTTTGAAGTGAGCAATAAGGACGACAAGAAGAATATGGGAAAGCAGATGCCACAACCCACTTTCACGCTGAGAAAAAAACTCTACTTCCCCCTCAATTGATGTCGAACACTATGCTTAATTTTTGTACTGTAATGCTTTTACTTTATGCTATCATTTATTTGCACAACACTATGCTTAATTTAATTGTTAATAAGATGCTGCTGCCCCTGCCCTGTTTATTTTATTTTATTTTATTTTATGTTGTTAATCCTCACCTGAGGATATTTTTCCCTTTTTGATGGGCTGCTTCCTGAATGAGCCCCAAGGTAGTGCCCTTGACCGAATTGAACCTGGGACCCTTTGGTCCACAGGCGGACGCTCTATCCACTGTGTCAAACTGGATACGTCCCCCCCCGCCCCCCAGTTTTTGAAGGCAGAGAGGGGAGAGAATGGGAGTCATGACAATTTAATTTTTATGCAGATTGAAGCCTAAATTTCTGGCTTTGCAATGATAGCTAGATATTTATAGCCATAGGCATGATTTTAATTGTATTTTTAATTTGATAAAAAAGTTTTAAAAACTATAGTAGATACAAAGGATAGTAAGTTTAAAAGAAATGCGACATTACAATGGTTCAAATACAGTGGCAGAATGTACTTCACTCATCTCTGATCTGCTTTCAACCCCAAATCATTTAATTCCCTTCAAATCAGCGGTTGACAACCGGTGGTCCTCGGACCACTGGTGGTCCGTGAGGTCCAAAAGGTTGGCGACTGCTGCTTCAAATTGTTAAGAATTGTTTTGTTTTGTACTTTCAGTCCCTCTCTTTCCAAGCCATCCTCCACACTACAATTATATGTAAGGAAAACTTTTCCTTTTTATTCATACTAACTAAAATGACATAAGATAAATTAACAATAGAAAAATAAAATTAACTTTCATACATGCCAGAGTTCACAGAAATATGAGACAAAAAAAGATTGCCCTGACCAGTTTGGCTCAGTGGATAGAGCATGGGCTTGTGGACTGAAGGGTCCTGGGTTCGATTCCCGTCAAGGGCATGTACCTTCCTTGGTTGCGGGTACATGAATCGATGTTTCTCTCTCATCGATGTTTCTACCTTTCTATCCATCTTTTTCTCCCTTCCTCTCTGTAAAAAATCAATAAAATATATTTTTTTAAAAGTTATCACATCAGGCAGATTTTTATATCTTTTAGACACAATAACAATAAATTTGAGAAGAATTTATAAGACAAAGAAGTTTGGTCTTAATTAGTAAAGAAATAACAAGTTTTGTTTACACAGCCTTCTTGGCCCTAAATTCCCTATCTGATAATATTGATGCCTTCTACCCTCTTCATACAGGGTTGGGGGTAGGGGGGGCTTTCACATGGGACATGTATTTCTGACTTTCAGGGGAATAAAACAGGGTCAGAGTGTCCGTCTTGTACTGTTGTGTCTCAAGTAACTTGCACTACACGCTTCTTTAAAATACAAATTGGAAAATACTATTTCTTGCATTAAAAGCTTTTAAAAACCCAAAATGGTTTTACAAATCAGTTACAATCTATTTCCAAATTCCCTTTTCAGCCTTTCCTCTTATTGCTCTTGTAGTATATGCATTTTTCTGTACATGCTCGATTTGCTTTTCTGCTAGCATTTCTGTGCTTTATTCATGCTTTTAAAATTATAATTTCATTTGAAATACTAATGAATTATCTTGTTTTTAAAAGCTAATTAAGTTTTTTTAAAAAAATTAGTTTTTCAAAAGTACTTCTAGTTAAAATATAACTTAACTTTACTGTTCGCACGAGATTGTTTTGCTTGTTTTGTTTTATTCCAATGGCATCTCACAGGTGGAAAATGTTTGGATCACAGATACATTTTACTTGAACCCCCCAATGTTGGCTCACACCATTGTATTTTTAAAAAATGTGTTGTTCAGCCCTAGCTGGTTTGGCTCAGTTGATAGAGCATCGGCCTGCAGACTGAAGGTTCGATTCTGATCAAGGGCACACGCCTTTGCAGGCTCGATTCCCCAATAAGAGGCATGCAGGAGGCAGCCAATCAATGATTCTCTTTCATCATTGATGTTTTTATCTCTCTCTCCCTCTCCCTCCCTCTCTGAAATCAATATTTTAAAAAAATGTGTTGTTCATATTTAAAAATTGGGAGATGTGATATAAAAACTAGAATACCTTCTCTTGAAAAATCAGAATATTTGATCCCATTAACTCCATACTCCTGTATGGCAGCAATGGAATGGTTTCTCTCACTGCCTCCCCCCTCTAGTCCCCTCTATTGAAGCTGCTGCCAATTACCAATTATTGTTTTGGTCAGATAGTTTTTCTTTATGTGCAGCCCATTTCACTTATTTATGTTGCCTGCACAGTGGCATTTGAATTCTAGCAATGGTTTAGAGAATCTGGCAAGAATTATCAGAAACTCTTCCTAAATCACAGGTTAGGGAATGTGATTGAGAGGTGAGAGAGTGGGGACACATGTGAAAAAGAAAGGTTTTTGAAATCAAACCAATAAATTTTTTCTTGCTAGCTAAATGCCCCACGTACAGTCCAAAATATAGTTAACATTTTATAGGAAGAAAATTTTCAGATCAGTGTCTTCATAATAAAAATATGTAAAGGTGGAAGAGAAAATAGTACACCCAGAGAAAGCCCAGCTCTAGCTACAGAGCACATCACTTTTCAGTGAAAATCATGAAAAAAAATCTATGTAATTGAGATGAGAATTCAAACATTCCCAACCACTCAGAAGAAAGCAAATTGTGAAAAGATGAAAGCAGAATCAAGGCAACCCCAAAACCAAACCCATCTTATGCATTTCTCAAGAAAACCTACAGGAGTACTCTAGGCTCACAGAGATGCTGTTCCTACCAACTCCGATGCTGGAGAACAACTTTTCTGCTCATAATTCTTGTCTTTTGTTGCTACCCTCTTCTAAAGTCTCAGTATCATCCTCATAAATAGTAATACAGGTTGACCTTCCAGATCGTTCTTCATAAATTCCTCCATTCTTGGTATTTATCTTTTGCCTATAAAGAAAGAGAAAATGTATCACTATAGACTCAAAGAGTAGACAGTGGGGTAGGATATCTGGAGAGAGAGAAGTGTGGTTTCATTCTTTCACTGGGGGCAGTCTCACTTATTACTTGCAGTAGTTTTGAATTTAGTGAGACAGGATATGTGGGTGACCAAATGCCCATGTGAGGAATTTTCCACTAAATCAACATAATAAATAAGTTCCCTTTATTAAAGTATTGACCGAAATTTATTTCAATAATTTTTTAAAAATATTTTTATTGAGTTTATTTCAGAGAGGGAGAGAAAGATAGAAACATCAATGATGAGAGAGAATCATTGATTGGCTGCCTCCTGCACACCCCATACTGGGGATCAAGCCTGCAACGCGGGCATATGCCCTGACCAGGAATCGAACCCGTGACCTCCAGGTTCATAGGTTGACGCTCAACCACTGAGCCACACCGGCCGGGCTATTTCAATAATTTAAGATGCATCTTCAGGTTGCAGTTTAATTTCTGACCTAAAATTGATTTCCACAGGAACCCAATATAGCTGCATCTAAGGGTAAACCACTAACACCTACACCCCTAAACTCTCAGGGGAGATGTTTAAAAATGATCTTTCGTTTTTTAAATCCTGAATACACTTAGAGAGTCTCAGATAAATACCATGTATCATTTTGCATAAAAACTGAGACACGGCACCATTTCAAACAAACTGGCGGGGGGTGGGGGGGCGGGGAATTCAAGTTGGAATCCTATTAGTCTGTAGGCAGAGGCAGTCTCTGGAGGCTTTGAGTCTTTGCCTGATCCAATGAGTCAGAAACAGCCTTTAACACTGTCCTGCATCAGAGATGGGAGAGGTGTAGAGGATCTACCTAAAACATAGTTACAAACCCAAACAGCCAAAATTAGGAGACAAAGAAACAACCCCCAAATGAAAGAACTACAGAATTCTCCAGAAGAAGAGATAAATGAAGCAGAGATAAGAAATTTATCTGAAACAAGAATTGAGAGTAATGATGGTAAAATGCTCAACAGCGTGAAAAAAAGAGATAGTAACTATCAAATGAACTGTTTGACCACAGCAGGTAAATTCTGTGGCCAGGCTCACTGTGAATATCTTCCTCCTGAAAGTGCCTGTGCTTTGGCTTCATTAGGAAACACCTGAGTTCATCTTCACCTATTCCTCACCCAACCCCCTCCCCATTCCTAAAGATAAGTCAGCCATGTTTTTGCGCCCCATTCACACCTCAGATGAATGTTTTCTTCTCTCAGGAGCTGTATGGTGAATTTAAACTTCTCTTCCGTTTCAGCAAGCTTGGTCTGGAGTGTTTTCTCCAGATTTGCCACCGCAGCTTTCTGAAAGACATGTATATTTTAATAGCTATCTTTTCCCAACCAGAGCTGTATGGCTGAGCTACACAGAGACCTGGGATCCTCCCACAAATGCCCATCCTCACTCCAGCCAGGACTCACCTCCTTCTGGAGTTCCATCTGGGTTTGGTAGAGGGTGGTGTTCAGTGATTCCAGGATAACAGCTTGTGCATGCAACTCTTCCTCTATGATCTGTGTAAGAAGAAACTGTTTTGGGACAGCATGATGGTATCTGCCCATTTATTCTCTTCTCCAGGTACCTGGACTAGAATGTGCAGCATTGACTTTACTCCTTCTTCTGCACCATTCAGTCACTATGCCCTGTTAACCCTACGCCCTCCCTTTGTCTTCCCCATCCATACCCTCCTTTGCAAGCTCACTGTCACTGCTCCAGAGCCAGTCCTCACCAGAGCTCACATGGGTTGTCACAACAGCTAGCAATTATTCATTCATTAAACAAGTATTTATTAAATATCAACGATAGATCCCAACTATATGACATTCTGGAAAAGGCAAAACTATAGAGTTAGTAAAAAGATCAGTGGTGCCCTGACCCATTTGGCTCAGTGGATAAAACGTCGGCCTGCGGACTGAGGGGTCCCGGGTTCGATTCTGGTCAAGGGCATGTACCTTGGTTGCGGGCACATCCCCAGTGGAGGGTGTGCAGGAGGCAGCTGATCAACGTTTCTCTCTCATCGATGTTTCTAGCTCTCTGTCTCTCTCCCTTCCTCTCTGTAAAAAATCAATAAAATATATTTTTAAAAAAAGATCAGTGGTTGCTAAGGGTTGGGAGGGAAAGGGAAGGATGTATACGTGGAGAACAGAAGATCTTTAGGTTAGAGAAATTATTTTGTATGATACTACAATGGTGACTTTATAACATGATTGACAAAAATTATAGAATGTACAACACAAATAATGAACCCTAATGTAAACTATGAACCTTAGTTAAAAATAATATATTAATAGTAGTTTATCAGCTGTAACAAATGTAACACACCAATGCAAGATATTAATAATAGAGGAAGTTGTGTGGGGATGGGGAGTGTATGTGAAATCTCTGTACTTTCTGCTTATTTTTTCTGTAAACTTAACCGTGCTCTAAAAAAAAGTCTGTTAATTAGAAACAAAAAACCTACTATAGGAATGGGCTTTGGAGCAAGGTAGATCCAGTGTATTAGGTACTATGAATATTACGATGAGCAAGACAAATATAACTCCTACTCTTATGGGGGACACATTCTAGTGAGGAAAAGATAAAAAATTAAATAAAAGCAAACAAAATAATTACAATAGTAGATTAAAAACAAATCCAGGATGCAGGTGGAGGACACAGTATAAGTGTTGGATCTACTTTAGAGAGATGGTGAAGTGACTATAAAAATGGACCAGCCCTACCTAGCTGGTTAGGCTCAGTGGATAAAGCGTCGGCCTGCAGACCAAAGGGTTCTGGGTTTGATTCAGGTCAAGGGCATATATCTTGGTTGCAGGCTCCTCCCTGGCCCCAGTCCTGGTTGGGGCTCATGCGGGAGGCAACTAATTTATGTATTTCTCTCACATTGATGTTGCTCTCTGTCTTTCCCTCTCCTACTCCTCTAAAAATCAATGGAAAAATACCTTCAGGTGAGGATTAAAAAAAGAAAAGGGACTAGATTAGGATCTGCTTTCAGGAGCCAGGCTCATTTAACTCTTACCATCCGCATAGCTATTCCCATGTAGAGGAACCTCCCACTCTGCATAAACTTGAAGGGCATCATCTACTGCAACTGCATTGTACAAAGCAGGTCATTTTGCATTTTTTTCATTGATTTATTCATTCAAAAAAATCAGTTGCTATTTACAGAATGTCTGTGAAATGCCAGGCACTGTTCTAGAAACTGGGATTAGTGGTAAAGAAAATAGACAAAAATCCCTGCCTTTATTGAGTTTATCAGGCTAGATGGTTATAAGTCTGTGTAGAAAAGTAAAACAGGGAGCCGTAACCGGTTTGGCTCAGTGGATAGACCGTCAGCCTGTGGACTGAAGGGTCGCGGGTTCGATTCCGGTCGAGGGCATGTACCTTGGTTGCAGGCACATCCCCAGTGGGGGGCGTGCAGGAGACGGCTGATCGATCTCTCTCATCGATGTTTCTGACTCTCTATCCCTCTCCCTTCTTCTATGTAAAAAAATCAATAAAATATATTTTAAAAAAAAGAAAAAGAAAAGTAAAACAGGGAAAAGGAAGTGCCAGGCGTGTTGTTGAGTGGCCCCTGAGAAGGTAGCATTTGAGTGAAGACTGGAAGGCAGTGAGGAAGCTAGCGATGTGGATATCTGGCAAAGAACTTTTCAGGAGGCGAGATCATCAAGCGCAAAGACTCCAAAGTGGGAGCATCCTAGCCTGGTAAACAGCAAGAAGT